CCAGTAGATGGTAGTAGAGGTACCAACAACTATTCCACTTTCAAAGTAACTTAAATCAGCTTTCTTCCCCATTCAGATGCTTGGTTTGAACTTTAGCATTTATCATATCTACATGCCTAAGTGCAAATCATTTTTGCCAAGTGACTGGCTAATTAGATATTTGCATGAGTGAGCAGTTGAACGGGTGTTCCTAAATATAAACAGTGCATTTTACAAAAAAACAAGGTTAGAACATCCTTTTAAGTTGTTAAAAGAATAGTTTTTCATTGATGTGAATATATTTATGGAATTACACATTATTTGTTGCTGTACTTGTTTTTCTTTTTTTTTCGTGATCTGCTGCTTTATGCTGCCATCATAACCATCAAAAGCTAAAAGTGATAGATTCTTGGCTGCAGTCAGTCATTATATTTATGTTGATGTTTTTAAGCCTCTGTTGCATTTTACTGCTGTTCTGTCGCTCACATTCAAATCCTGCTCCAAGCCCTGCAGCAGCCATGCTAATGTTGCCTTTGGTGAGTCTAGTTTTATAAGCCTTTTATGTAAATGTGTTGGGTCAGACACGAATATCGGGAATGGCAAAACAATATTTTCCACATTATGAATCTTAATATTGAGGCTCGGCTGAAAATAAATAGGAATAAAAACAGCTCATTGGACTCCTTCAAATGACCTTGCTTTTATTTGTACAGCTTCTAAGTGAAGTGCTTGTTTTCGCCCTCCCCTACCAGTGTATTTACAGTTTACAGTGTTTTGTTTTTTGTTCCCTATCTTCCAGACCCCCCTCTTTCAATAACTCACTGCAGAAAAAGCCTGGAAACTCCGTAAGTACACCTGTGCCACACACAAATGTATTGCTGTACTACAAAACAACAACAACAACAACAAAACCTCACAAAACAAATTGATTTAACAAAGAAAATCAAATAGTAGTACACGTTATATTAACAATGTAATATCTAATAAATTGTAAACTTGTAAATATCTAATAAATTGTGTGGAATAATATTAAGAAGGTTGTCCACTATGGTAAATGGACCGGTTCTTATATAGCACTCTTCTACTCTATCTGAGCACTTAAAGCGCTTTACACAACTAATTAATTCACCCAAGCACTGTTTCTAAGCTGTTAGTGCCTATCTAACATTCATACACAGTCACACTCCAATGGATGCATCGGAGAGCAACATGGGGTTAGTATCTTGCCCAAGGATATTTGGCATGCAGACTAGAGGGAAGGAATCGAACCACCAACCTTCCAATCAGTGGATTACCTGCTGTACCGCCTGAGCTACAGCCACCCTATCAGTGCATCCTGTACTAGCAGCAACATGTGTACTAAAAACTCTGACAGACATAAACATGTACTACAGGTACCTAAATGATGACTTCAAAGCATCACTGTTGACTGTCCATCTTAATTTTGAATATTTGTTGTGTGTGTGTGTGTGTGTGTGTGTTCATTACTCCCTCAGAAAGCTGTTTTTTCTACATAAACTTCACTGTATTGACATCTTCTATTGGTTCTCATATTGCATTGTGAGAATCTTTCTAAGCTTTCCAATACTTACGGTAGAGTCATATCAGTTGAGGCAGGAACTCAACTACACCTAATGCCCACTCTAAAAAAGACAGTTTGCCCCTTCATAACACCTGTAAATGGCATGATTTTAATTTTTTTTGTATTTGAACTTTATTAATTTAGGAGCATGATAAGTGGATCCAGACACAGCCGGCTGTAGTTGCTAACTGTTTGCTAAGCTTCACCCTAGCCACATGGAGTCTCTGAGCTGGACGTCTGGACTATTTGTGCTGTTGGTGGCTTTTGGAGCATTGTTGATCGAATACCTGACAAACAGCATGGCTTGCTCTGTGACACAGCCCATCCATGTTGTCTGTGCTACACTTTTGAAATTCAGTTTAGTCCAAGGCCTCAGACAGGGTGGGGGAGGATATTTACAGACAATCACTGTTAGCTTTATAGTTTCATGTGAGAATATTAAAGAGTATGAAATCTAATTACACTCTAAAAACAAATGTTTAAGCTCAACAAAAAAAAATGACGCAACAGCTTCCATGAATATTTCTGAATTATGAAAACTTATGTTGAAATTATATTGAACCCACAAACTATATTACGTTATGAGAATGAACTTTTCCTCTACAATCAGAAGTAATTTTAACTACCCCTTACTTAATAATTTGTAGCTTAAAATCTATTTTTTAAGCTGTGTACTCATAAAATGATGTTACACCAACAACTTTTTTCACATTATTTGAAAGTATTGTATGGTGTCAATAAGTTGCTGATTTTCTTCTTCATCATTATTATTTTAGCTTTTTCTTGTTTTTGTAATTTTAACTGCTTTCAAGAAATAAATTAATTCAACATTTAAGGATTTTATTTGTAACTTTCAACGCTTTATATTTAAACACTGAAAATAAATCAGAAATCAGATTATACTTTTACCCTAACTGAATCTTACTGAATCTAGATCATCAGTGGACTTATTGTTTATTTATTTTTATACACACATGAATGAAAATTAGGATACATTAATAAGAATGAGATAAAATTATGGCATCATAACACAAAACATAACCACACGACATAAACAACATGTTCTATGACCAATTTGGCTGCTTGACCTAAAAAGATTTCTAACAACATATTTTACTAGCTTTACGAGCGGTTCACCGTGTTGGTCTAATTATAACATTCTAGTTTATGCTGTAAAAAATAGACAATACCCTTTATGTTTTATATCATGACTAACTCAAGTTAAAGTAAGCTAGAAATATCCAGTGTGTTATGAAATGTGTATTTTTCTATTAATTCTTTGTAACTTGCCCTTTAGTTTTTCTCTACTTCAAGATATTTTTCATGCAATGATTAAGTGAAGTGCTATGTTCATTAGTTTAATTTTTCAAGGAGCCTTTTACAATGCCCCACACCTATGCTGAACAGGCCACTGCTATGGGTGTGATATTTGTAAATCCACAGTATGATCAGTGTGGATTTCATTTTTATTCAAGATGCTGAATTATTTACACCAAACTGCATGAAAAGGTCCTCTTCCTTCTCTCCCGGGTTGAGTTGATGGGTACCTCTTTGCGTACTTTGAGAGTATTGTGCAATTTTAAAAAAAAAGTAGATAAAGTATCAAAATGAGTAATACATTATATAGGTGGCTGCAAACAAACTGCATTCTGAAGTTAGCCAAAGCCTAAATAATTATCATACCTCAAGAAGCAAGATTCTCAGTCCTTTAGCTCCTCCCCTTCAT